GCATGCCAGAATCCATTTTGTTATGTCTGGGAACAATCCCTCTTTTCTCTGCAGTGGGAGAAAGGCTCTGCAAAGACCAAAGAAGTTTTTTCACAGGACTTCTGGACTTGGTGGAGCCTTCAACAGTTTTTTTCAGCCCTTGGAACAGTGCAATGAGACCAGGTGAAAGTAGGCATGTGTAGTCTACAGTAAGAGTTGTTCTGTCCTGGGATGTAGAGAGAGAAAATTTCCACTGCAGAGGCTTTCTCACAACTTAATCCATGCCCTAAAGAGAGGCTGCTTTCAGAAAGAGGTTCATTGACTGGACATTTCTGGCTATGGGGGTGAAATAGCACAGACAGGGGAGAACTGCCCCAGAGCTCAAACTTCATAGAATCACAGAATATCCTGAGTTGGAAGGGACCCATGACGATCCTCAAGCTCAACTCCCGGTCCTACACAGGACACCCCAACAATCCCACCATGTGCCTGAGAGCCTTGTCCAAAAGCTCCTTGATCTCTGGTAGGTTTGGAACCGTGACCAAACCCTGGAGAGCCTGTTCCAATGCCTGACCACCCTCTGGAGGAATAATCTTTTCCTAATATGCAACCTAAACCTCCTCTGACACAGATTCCTGTTGTCCCCTCCAGTCCTGTCACTGGTCATCAGAGAGAAGAGATCAGCACCTTCCCCTCTGCTGCCCCTTGTGAGGAAGCTGCCAACTGGGATGAGATATTCTCAGTGTTCTTCAGGCTGAACAAGCCAAGTGACCTTAATCACTCCACCCAGCTTCTCCTCTAGACCCTTCACTGTCTTTATGGTCTTTGCACATACGAACAAATCCTCTCTTTTCCAGGCTTTTGCCCAGACAACAGACGTCCCTGCACCAGGGTGGCATGGATGGCACAGATGCTCTCCTGGTTACAGAGAAAGGAGGTGGAGTTTTAGCACTGCGTGGGTGTGACCAAGCTGTTTATTCCATCACTGGAATGTCATTGCTGTGGTGTGGTTTTGGCAGGAAAAGCTGGGGGCTGCATCATCTTGCCCGGCTTCCTCCAGTGGAAGGTGTTGGGATCAGCCCCGGTGGATTGGCCCCTCTTCCATCACTGCCAAGTCCCCTTTCCGTTCCCTCCAGCCATGGCTCCAGGACCTGGTGCTGAAGGACAACAGTGACAAGCTCCGAGAAAAGCAGCAACAAGCCCAAGCCCACTGGAGTGCAAACCCTGCTCCAAGGAAAGAGGAGGGGCTGGTCCAAGCCCAGTGGAATGTGAGCCCCTGGTGCAGGCGGAGCAGAAGCAGCCACAGGGGGAATGGAGAGGTGGCAAACTGGGAGCAGCTGGGGGGAAGGAGACAGCAGGGGACTGGTACAGGAGGAGATGAGCCAAGCCAAATACTGCTGAGCACAGCTGAGCACAGCAGTCCAGAAAAGCAGGCGGTGTGACATGGATGATCTCAGTTTTGGGGGTTTGCCCATCATTGTTGTCCATTGTCTTGGGTTTGGGGGTGGGAATTTTTGGCTATGGGAGCTCCCCCCCCAGTACCTTTGTACCCCGAATACCACGTGGTGCGGGGCACAGGGACGGTCACTTACATTGCCTTTTCCTGGAGACCACATGGGCCTGAAAGTGCAAACCAGTTTGGTTTTATTTTGTTCCTGGTGGTGAATACCCTTTTGTGGGTAAAACACCTTCAACTTTGTATACTTTTGCTATTAATGCTGCTGTTGCCGGATTCTCCACCTGGGATGGGGCAACCCCAGACATATGGACAGACTGGGAATGAGATGCTGGAAAGCAGTGCTGGGAAAGGGCCCTGGGGGTCCTGGTGGGTGGCCAGTTGGCCATGAGTCAGCAGTGCCCTGGCAGCCAGGAGGGCCAACCCTGTCCTGGGGGCATCAGGCCCAGCATCGCTGGCTGGGCCAAGGAGGGGATTGTCCCACTCTGCTCTGCCCTGGGGCGGCCTCACCTCAACATTGTGGCAGTTTGGGGGGACACAATATAGGAAAGATGTGAAACCATTAGAGAGTGTCCAAAGGGGGGCAATGAAGGAGGTGAAGGGTTTTGAGGGGAAGCCGTGTGAGGACACTTGAGGGCACTTGGTGTGTTCAGCTGGAAAAGAAGAAACTGAGGGGAGACCTCACTGCAGTTACACCTTCCTGATGAGGGCCAGAAGAGAGTCAGGCACTGAGCTCTGCTCTGTGTCACCAGGGACAGGACCCGAGAAAATGGCCTGAAATTGTGTCAGGGGAGCTTTAGGTTGGATATTAGGAGAAGGTTCTTCCCCCAGATGGTGGCTGGGCACTGAACAGGCTCCCCAAGGCAGTGGGCACAACACTGGGCTGACAGAGTTCAAGGAGTATCTGGATGATACTCTCAGGCACAGGGTGTGACTCTTGGGGATGGGCCTCTGCAGGGCCAGGAGCTGGACTCAATGATCCCAGTGTGTCCCTTCCAGCTCAGGATATTCTGTGATTCTGTTATTGTGCATGTCTTATTCTGTTGCTTATGCTTTTAGTAAATTGTTATTGCAACCCATAATCTCTCCTTTATTCTCCCTCCCTTACCAGAAGGGGAGGCAGGAAAGGGAGTGGCTTATTTGGAGTCTAGTTCCCTGCTGGTGTTAAAACCAGCATATTTAATTAGCTCAGTCAGTAGACCATGAGACAGCCTCAGGGTTGTGTGTTTTACCCCACACTGGGCACCAATTAAATGTGCTGTGGCTCGAAGGAATGGAAAGGGGACTAGTGGTGATGGAAGAGGGGTCGAGTCCACAGGGGCTGATCCCAACACCCTCCCGTTGGAGGGAGACAGGTAGGATGATGCACTAGCCATTGTAGCCCCTGGCTTTTCCTGCCAAAACCACACCTCAGTGATGACATGGGTGGTATGGAACAAACAACTTGGTCACACTCACACAGTCCTAAAACTCCACCTCCTTTCTCTGTAACCAGGACCGAGGCACAAACTGATGTTAGAGACCTGAAATTCCTCCAGCCCCTGGAGCTCGTATTTCCCCACGGTGTTGGGCCACGTGCTGAGCTTGCTGCTCCCCTCAGGGTCAGCTGCTGTGGGAAACGAGGGCAGGTGTGGGGTTGCAGATGTCTGGTACCCTGTGCTGGCACCACCACATGGCCCCAAAGTGGCATATCTGGAAAGAGCAGGTGATCTGTAAGGGGCCTCTCTCCTCCACCATGACTGGTCTCTTCTGCTCACTGACACTGGTCATGTAATCTGGGAAAAGTGTGAGTCAGTGACTGCACAGGGACAGGCTTCACAATCCAGATGGACCTGGAGAAGACAACAAATTCCTGACTCTGTGTGTGTGTGTGTATATATGTATACACACAAGGGATTGCTTATCAAGAACCTCAGTTTCCCTCAGTGGTGGGTTGTAATAACCCACCTAGTGCAACACTGTAGTCAAGCAAGCCATTCCATCATGTCTCCATGACACAGACAAGTCACCCTACAACAAATCTCTGGGTTTCCCAGGACATTTGAAACTTCCTTTGACAATCTGTTTATAATTGGAGAAAAAAGCAGTCAAGAGGCTCAGCAAACAGCAGGTGCTCCCTGTGCTGCTTCATCCCCTTGGCAGGATTGGTGTTGGAGCCAGGTAGAACCAGGAGAGAGTGGGGCATCCTTGGAGAACATGAGAAAGGGGAGGAGCTGGAGCTGCAGGTCTTGGTGGGAAGGAGGAGAATCCTTGGTGTCTGGCCGTGGTAAGAAGGGACCCACTAGTGGTGTTAAAAAGAGATAGTGGCTCTTCCCCAGACCATGGTGGGAGAAGCGTAAGGGGAACCTTGTCTGTCTGTCTGACTCTGTGTGCCCAAATCCCTGTTGTGAGACTAATGGTGGCTTTGGGAACTCCTGCTTTGCACCCGGGCCCCTCTCCCAGCTGTAGTGCAGGAAAGGCTGGCAGCCTGACTGGGGAGAGACAACATCCCTGCCAGACCTACAAAGAAGGCTAAAGGGAAGGCAGAGAGAGCTGAAATGCTGCAGAAGCAACCAACCTGTAGCAGGAGGGCACAAAGACAGGTGGGTGAGGAACAGCCCCTCTGCGCCTGGGCTGAGGGACAGAGAGGCTGTAGCTGGAGATGTCTGGTGGCCAGAGGTTCAGCAGGGACAGGCGTCAGGAGGAACACGAGGGGGGTGTGAGGAGCAGCCTGTCCTACAGCCACCACCAGCACTACCAGCCCTGCCCCACGCAGAGGGACCCTCCTGGGCTCCAAGAGCCACCCTGCCAGGGAGGGCTCAGAGGTGCTGTGGATGCAGAAAGAGCTGCCAGTGCCACCCCCCGTCCCGTGTGACTGGGGAGATGGACTCCTCAGCCGGACACTGGTCGGGCTCCCCATCAGCTGCAGGGTGTTCTCAGAGGCTGAGGAGGGAACTGGTGTTTGGGGTGCAGCAAGGCAGGCCCTGAGGGCTGCTGGCTCTGCAGGAGCCAGGGACACCTTTGTCAGCCGCAAGGGACAGTCTCCTGGCAGGAGCCCACTGCCAGTGTCTCCCCCTTTCTTCCCTCTGGCAAGGCCCCTGGCTCTGCTCTGTGCCTGCCAGATCTCCCCACAGTGACACCTTTCTCTCTGGCAGCTGGGCAGGGCGTGGGGAGAGGGAAGGACCACACAGAGGCGCAGGCTGAGATGCAGCAGAACTTTAATGAGTTGAAAAGGTGGAAAGGAGGTGCTCTGAGTGGGCACCGTGGTGCAGGGAGCACCAGGGGCAGGTAGGAGGAGTCTCTGGCCCTTGGCCAGGATGCAGTTGAGACCTTGGATGGGGCTTAGAGCATGATCACAGCCCAGGAGAGCAGAAGACAGCAGAGAAGAGAGAGGGAAAGAAGAGGGGCAGAAACAGGGAACTCCAACAAGGCCCGTGTTTTCAGAGAGCCCAGGCAGCCCTCGTGCAGGGCAGGGGGAGCTACGGCTGCTCAGCCCCTCTGAAAGCCATGGCCAAGGTCTCCGTGCTCAGTCCATTTCTGTCTTCTGGGTTCCTGGGGGTCCTTCCGTGGGGCGTCAGCAGCAGCTTCAGCAGATTCTGCCGCAGTAGCGGTTGGTGATGCAGGAGAGGTCAAAGCCCCCGGAGTTGATGGGCACTCCGTCAGAGCTGAGGATGCTGCCAACGGCAGCGGAGGTGGAGGATCCCACGGCGGTGTTCTGTGGGAAGGAGCTGAGGATGGGCCCGGGCAGGGTCACCACCACGGGGGAGGGTTCGATGACGACGGTGGAGCTCTGGCACTGCCTGACACAGCACTCATTGCAGCTGTTGGCCAGCGGGGTCGGGCCGCAGGGCTGGCAGCAAGGGTTGCAGGGCTGGCAGCAGGACATGTTTTTGGGGCTGCAGGTGCACCTGGGAGAGAAGAAAGGGAGAAGATGGGGGTGTAGGAGGAGCCGCCTGCCCACCAGGAGGGAGCCAAGACACGTGCTGGCCTGGGAGGCTCTGCAGGGACGACCACACCACTCTTGGCCTGACCCCTGGCACTGAGCAAGGACAGCCAGGCCCAGGAGAGCTCCTTCCTAGTCAAGAGCCCAGGAGTTCCCGCAGTTCCCTCAGCTCAGAACAAGCCCCTCTCCAAACCAAACCTTCTCTCCACTTCCCCTTCCAGCCCCAAGCCCAGAACAGCACAGAGCTTCCAACTCACTTGCTTCCAAAGGAGAAGGGCAATGAAGTGGGTCAGAGAGTGCAGAGCTGGGATGGCTTTTATACTGGTCCTGCACTGCCCCAGGTCCAGAGGAAGCCTCTCTGGAAGCAATAATTTTCTGAGAAGCTCATCTGAAATGCAAAACATTCCAGCTAATGAGACGGGCTGTGTTTTGGTTTCCTGTACGGCTGCATTTTCATTTCCTTCTTTGGCCACTCATGATCCCCCCTGAAGGCTCCTTTTTGGAGATGGGGAGGGAAGCCCATGGACTTGTGGGACAGGAGCTCATTTTAGTGGCAGCAGAAGATGAGTCCCAAGTGCCAGAGGCATCGCGTGCACTCTGGGGACGTGTGCTCGGGGCACTCCCGTGGGCTTGTTTGCAGCCCCATGGGCAGGAAGGGCCCAGCTGCTCCCAGCTCTGGAATCTTCCCTCTGATGCCAAAAGGTCACTGAGTGTGACCAAGTGCCATGTCCTCTCTCTCCCACCCTCCACTCTCTCTGGGATCGACACTGGTCATTGTCTCTGCGGGTGTGTGATCAGCGCTGATGTTGTTGACTCTCTTCCCCCTAATGCTGCTCGGAGGAACTCTTAGTGCTCTCGTTTGGACTCCTTCAGTCTCTGGACTCTCTCTGGTGCTTCCCTACCAACTCCTACAACCTCCGTGTGTCTTGGCCCTCGTCCTGTCCCAGGTCGATCCAGCCTTGCCCTCCCAAGGGGTTTCTCTGAGTCTCCTTGTGCACATGAAAAAACTGCGTACTGAAAAAACTCATGTAAATTGTGAGGAAGATGAGGGAAGGGTTGCAAAAGTTGGGAAACACATTGGTTTTAGCCAGGATTTTGCAATAATTGGTAGTGTCCTTCACGGGCCTTCGGAGGAAGAGAGGTAGCAGCACTTGTGAGAAAAATCTCATTTTATTAAATTTAGAAAAACGGCAAAAGATTGCAAAACAAAAGGAATGAAACGAAAAGGAAAAATTACAACACGTGTTGGGTGTCCTAGGCATACAGCATTCCCAAGAACACTCCTTCCAATTCAAAAGTCCAGCTTTTTAAACATTCTTAAGGTTCAACCCTGTTTACATCATAGAAGAGGCGTTTCCCTCTCTTTGATTGGCTGTGTCGTGCTAGGAGGTGGAGTGTCCAGCAGTATGGCATCTCTCAGGATCAGACATGTGGCACAAGGGGTTTCTTTACTAATATTCATTTAACAGTTCCTTATTCCCGTCCGCATGTTTCCCTGACACCGGTTCCAGGCTGAATCCGGCGTCTTACAACTCCGCGATACGCCTTATCTTTGCTTGTAATAAAACCGACTCTTTATTTCTCACACACTGACCACAAGCCAAAGAAGGAAATGAAAATGCAGCCGTACAGGAAACCAAAACACAGCCCATCTCATTAGCTGGAATGTTTTGCATTTCAGATGAGCTTCTCAGAAAATTATTGCTTCCAGAGAGGCTTCCTCTGGACCTGGGGCAGTGCAGGACCAGTATAAAAGCCATCCCAGCTCTGCACTCTCTGACCCACTTCATTGCCCTTCTCCTTTGGAAGCAAGTGAGTTGGAAGCTCTGTGCTGTTCTGGGCTTGGGGCTGGAAGGGGAAGTGGAGAGAAGGTTTGGTTTGGAGAGGGGCTTGTTCTGAGCTGAGGGAACTGCGGGAACTCCTGGGCTCTTGACTAGGAAGGAGCTCTCCTGGGCCTGGCTGTCCTTGCTCAGTGCCAGGGGTCAGGCCAAGAGTGGTGTGGTCGTCCCTGCAGAGCCTCCCAGGCCAGCACGTGTCTTGGCTCCCTCCTGGTGGGCAGGCGGCTCCTCCTACACCCCCATCTTCTCCCTTTCTTCTCTCCCAGGTGCACCTGCAGCCCCAAAAACATGTCCTGCTGCCAGCCCTGCAACCCTTGCTGCCAGCCCTGCGGCCCGACCCCGCTGGCCAACAGCTGCAATGAGTGCTGTGTCAGGCAGTGCCAGAGCTCCACCGTCGTCATCGAACCCTCCCCCGTGGTGGTGACCCTGCCCGGGCCCATCCTCAGCTCCTTCCCACAGAACACCGCCGTGGGATCCTCCACCTCCGCTGCCGTTGGCAGCATCCTCAGCTGTGACGGAGTGCCCATCAACTCCGGGGGCTTTGACCTCTCCTGCATCACCAACCGCTACTGCGGCAGAATCTGCTGAAGCTGCTGCTGACGCCCCACGGAAGGACCCCCAGGAACCCAGAAGACAGAAATGGACTGAGCACGGAGACCTTGGCCATGGCTTTCAGAGGGGCTGAGCAGCCGTAGCTCCCCCTGCCCTGCACGAGGGCTGCCTGGGCTCTCTGAAAACACGGGCCTTGTTGGAGTTCCCTGTTTCTGCCCCTCTTCTTTCCCTCTCTCTTCTCTGCTGTCTTCTGCTCTCCTGGGCTGTGATCATGCTCTAAGCCCCATCCAAGGTCTCAACTGCACCCTGGCCAAGGGCCAGAGACTCCTCCTACCTGCCCCTGGTGCTCCCTGCACCACGGTGCCCACTCAGAGCACCTCCTTTCCACCTTTTCAACTCATTAAAGTTCTGCTGCATCTCAGCCTGCGCCTCTGTGTGGTCCTTCCCTCTCCCCACGCCCTGCCCAGCTGCCAGAGAGAAAGGTGTCACTGTGGGGAGATCTGGCAGGCACAGAGCAGAGCCAGGGGCCTTGCCAGAGGGAAGAAAGGGGGAGACACTGGCAGTGGGCTCCTGCCAGGAGACTGTCCCTTGCGGCTGACAAAGGTGTCCCTGGCTCCTGCAGAGCCAGCAGCCCTCAGGGCCTGCCTTGCTGCACCCCAAACACCAGTTCCCTCCTCAGCCTCTGAGAACACCCTGCAGCTGATGGGGAGCCCGACCAGTGTCCGGCTGAGGAGTCCATCTCCCCAGTCACACGGGACGGGGGGTGGCACTGGCAGCTCTTTCTGCATCCACAGCACCTCTGAGCCCTCCCTGGCAGGGTGGCTCTTGGAGCCCAGGAGGGTCCCTCTGCGTGGGGCAGGGCTGGTAGTGCTGGTGGTGGCTGTAGGACAGGCTGCTCCTCACACCCCCCTCGTGTTCCTCCTGACGCCTGTCCCTGCTGAACCTCTGGCCACCAGACATCTCCAGCTACAGCCTCTCTGTCCCTCAGCCCAGGCGCAGAGGGGCTGTTCCTCACCCACCTGTCTTTGTGCCCTCCTGCTACAGGCGGTTGGTTGCTTCTGCAGCATTTCAGCTCTCTCTGCCTTCCCTTTAGCCTTCTTTGTAGGTCTGGCAGGGATGTTGTCTCTCCCCAGTCAGGCTGCCAGCCTTTCCTGCACTACAGCTGGGAGAGGGGCCCGGGTGCAAAGCAGGAGTTCCCAAAGCCACCATTAGTCTCACAACAGGGATTTGGGCACACAGAGTCAGACAGACCAGACAAGGTTCCCCTTACGCTTCTCCCACCATGGTCTGGGGAAGAGCCACAGCTCCCCTGCCCTGCCTGTGCCCAGCAAAGTGTGGAGAAGATTTCAAGCCCTGCCTGTCCTTGCCTTGGAGCTGCCAGGGAAGATGTGCTCTGTGGGCTGCCAGGACAAGCAAGGACTTTGCAGGGCCAAGCTGCAGGACAGGGGAGTTGGGGAGATCAATTCAAGAAGAGCTTGTGGGACTAAGGAAAAATTACTAAGGACTGTGTAGGGAAAGGGAATGAGAAATAGAACATGGAGCTATAAAAGGGCCTTGTTAGACCCTGGAAGCAGCTGCCAGAGAGTTCACTTGTCTGAGCCCAGCCCCTGATCACTGCATTCTCTCCTATTTTCTGATTAAATCTTCCTTAACTGTCCTTCAATGTGACTTCACTCTCCATGTGTGAGTGGTGTAAGGATTGTTTTCTGAACTTAAATGAGGATAGAACTTAATGAACACTGTAGAAACAACTGTGGTAGGACTCTGAGGAGTACTAAGCCCTTGGAAACCTTGAAAAATGTAAGAAATCATAAGAGGCCCCACCAGAACAGCTGACCCATCTCATCTGACTCAAGGTTGTAGATCTCCATGTAATTACACCCTGAACTGAGTTGCTTCCTTTAGATCCATTTCTTTAGCTGGGACGAAACTAGATCTTAGCTAAAAAGAGCATAAGCAGAAGCTCATCTTTAAAGCTCATAAGGAACGAATGGCATGTGTTACCTACCTCTTTAATCATCCTTTCCCTGGGTATAACATTGGTATTGGATCTGTGCAGTTCACTGCCCTCTCAAGGAGATGTTAGGCAGAAGTGGATCTCCTTGGCACACACTGGTCCATCTACAGTTCCAGAGGGACAGCTTTTCTACAGAAGCATCTGAAGAAGACTCAAAGCTCCTGCTGATCAGGTTTTGCCTGCAATGATTTAAAAAACCTGTGTGTGATCCCTCCTAGGAGACCTAAAGGATTCACATGGCCCTGCCCCTACTGAAGTGTGGAATGTTTTTCACCGCTCATTAAGAATTGGAAGGCAAGTCATTCCCTTGTGGCTAATTAGGGAGCTTTTCCAGTTTTGTTGGTTTGTTTGTTTTTATTGGCACAGGAGCTAGTAAACAGGAGGATTTTAATCAGCTCTCAAGACAGTGGCATTTCTTTCTGTCTCCTTTTGTCTGAGCCTTTGCCTTTTAGTTTCTAGTAAAGTCAGGACGTTCTGATGTTGCAAACTCAGTGGATCAAGGTGCCTTCATGAGAGATGGAATATTTACCTCTGGTGAGACTCCTCTGAGCCTGGATATCTAGTGGAATTTTCACCCACCTTAAACTGCACTTCTCTGGTTGCACCTCCACAGCGTGGCTGTAAGGATTCTTTGGGAGAGAGGGCAGAAGGTGTTGGCAAAGCCAGTGTAAACAAAATGTCCACTGCTCTGGTTGAGTGGTGGGAACCAGCTGCATGACCAGTGTGCATTTCCATGTGTGCATGGCTTGTTCCATCAAATGATTAAAGTAAACTTATTACTTGCCAGACGAGCCTGTGCCAGCAGCTCCACCCAATTGCTGAACTTCACATCCATGAGCAAAGTGCTCTAGGGAGGGAGATGGCAGGGTTTTGTGTGCAGGAGAAAAGTTTGACTGGTTGCTTTAATCAGCTACATCTGTCACACAAAGCACAAGTAAATCACTTTAACCACACTGAGCCTTTGGACTTGACACAGAAGCTGCAAAAAAAGAGTGATTTTCTTTGTTCTGGCTCTAGGCAATGTAGACAGTGTCATTTTGGGTAGGAGTCTTCTCAACAAAGCCTGGGTGTCTACTGTGAATTTTCTTCTGCCTAGGCCAGTTTTAATCTTTAAGCTCCCTTGAGCACCATTTGGAGAAAAACTGATCTGTCTAAAGCTTGGCTCAGCTGACCTGTACAGTAACTTTAGGAGGAGGTGAACTAAGGTCTGAAATTGCCCATTTCTCTCTGCTGATGACCTGTGGAGCAAAGATAAATATCTCAGGTGAAGACACCTGCTCTGGACGTCAGAGGAATCAATTCCTTCCTATTTAGAATTATATCTCTAAATAAAGGTCTCAAAAAGTCTCAATTACCTCAGACAATCTGCATCCTGGAACAACTGTTTCTGCTCCTTTATATCATGAAAGGGAGGTTTATGAGACTGATTCCTTGCAGGTGTCTCCAGTGGGATGGTAAAGCTACTTGTGGTGTATCAAAGGCATTCACCTCAGTTTTTTCTTTCACCAATGCACCTCCCAGGGGTGATCCATTACCACCTCCACCAGATGACAACCTCTGTATAACCTGCAATAATACCTCTTCTCACTGGCCTGAGTAAGGGCTCCAGATTAGTTGCCTTATACACAGCTCAGATCTTTATTTAAATTGTTATGATTCAAACCTGTGATAGATGCTCTGACATCTAAAATGATCTTGAGAACACTGATAGAACTGGGTGCTTTGCCCTGGCAGTGACACCCTTGCTGGGGGAGCTGTCTAGTGGGGAGGATGAGGGAATACACATCCCTCTTCCATCCATGAGTGAAATAGGTTCTTTTGTTTTGCAGGCTCCTCAAGTCCTTGTTTAGGCTCTCATTAGCTGTGCTAATTAATCAACAGCTGTGCTAATTAACACCTTTGGCTTATTGTCAGGTTTGTGCAATCCAGTGTCATCCTGGTGTGAGAGGAGACAACTTTTGGGTGAGGCAACAGTGAAACGTGCCCTGAGGTGGCAGTGCCTGGGTGACAGGGTGTGTGAAAGGGCAAGTGCCCAGAGCAGCTATCACCTCCCATAGCCTGGGATTCTACACTTGAACAGTGAAAACCTGCCCCAGTGAAAACCAGCAGCTTTTGGCACTTTGTTGGGGCTTGACCTGTGCCTATCAGAGCCATGATTCAGTTCTGTCAGAGGATTGTGGTTCAGGCAGGGACCCAAACCACCCCTGAGAGTGCCACGACTGAGCCACAGGTCCCAACTGCATCTGAGAACATAATGGTTGAGACAGAGACTTAAACCACACGTGAGGACACATGATTGAGACAGGGACTCAAAGAGTAACTTCAGTAAGCAACCTTTCCAACCCAAACCATTCTATGATCGCATAATTAAATGATTGTGTTGTCTCCTGTGAAAACATATCCATTTCTATCCCTGCTGACATTTAATGAAGACAAAGGAACAGAACAGACATTGGCTATGACTGTGGAAGACTCTGGTGACAGTCCCTTAATATCAATCTATTGATTCCCACCCATCCCAAGGTTTAAATCTTAACTTAGTATGAAATATTCAGTCTCGTAAGGATAGAGAGGCAGCAATTTCATTCAATAATATGTTTCTGAGAAATTAGGCTGATACACACTGAGATGTAAGAACTGTTGGATCCAAGTCCTTTCTGGGACTGAAATTCCTTTGTGAAGCTTAGTCTTCACTTAGAATGTCCATGTATTCCAGGCTGCACTGCCATCCTGTCAGGGTACAGTGCTCACAGTCCACCAGCCCCCTCCCAGTGGCCCCATTGTTTCACTGCTTAATTTGTGGAACTGCAGGTGCCATTCGCATGAAGCCAAACCAGTCAAGATGACGACAGATGAACCACATCATTTTAATCTTCCTTCTGAGGTGAACTCATAGACAGGTCAGGTTTCTGTCCCCCACCTGCCAGTGGAAGTTTAGCTCTTCTCACAGTTTCTGAGCTCTGAAGGCCAGTGATAGCAGAGCAGTGTTGCTGCTTAGCTGTGGGTATATGATCTCTCCTGTTCTGCAAGTTGGGAGAAGTTCTGCAGACTCACCAGCAAATCCTACCTGAAAATAAGGATATGTGCTAAGCTCTGGTTATCAGAGCTACATGTCCTTCCACTGGCTCTGAATGTGGCCACAGAGCTGGTGAGAAGAAA